TTTAAAATACCTTTCCGCCATTTTGTTTGTTTTTGGAAAATCATTAATTGTACTGCAGTACAAGTAATGAAGTAATTGTACTCCTCTCAACCAATCAGCATCCAGTAATTTTGTCATGCTAATAATTAGCCTGCATGGCAGGTGGTCCCTAAAATCGGGCAAGCCTGCCATGTAGGCTAGCTAATAACAAACTTAGAAATGGCCCATATTTGGGTTGATTTCATAGACCTATAGTTAAATTTCCTGGTTATTTTGTCTCACCTCCTACTATTTTTACCAGGACGCCGTGGTTAAATTAACCAGACTAGGTGGATAAATAAGAGAGTCCTGGTAGGAAGTGAGATGAAATAAACAGGAATGTTAAGTTAATTCAGATATAGGATTATGTCTAGATTGACTAGGAAAATTAACAGTGTTATCTTCAGGGTGTACTTTGACAGTGTAAAGGAGAAGGTTCTTTTATATATATATATATATATATATATATATATATATATATATATATATATATATATATATATATATATATATATATATATATATATATATATTATACGGGTGACATATATTATACGGGTGACATATATTATACGGGTGCATAAAGTTTATGCTTACATTTAGATCAATAGAATGTTTTTAACGGGTGACTTCACACCATGTAAATATATGCATTCCTAACATAGTTATTATAATATGATATCATAGAACGTAGATAATAGATAAACTAAATTCCACTCATTGTAATTATGCACCTGAGGAGCTAACATTAAAGCGAAAACGTTTGTGCAAAATTTGAGTGGCTTTTATTTTATTTTACGTTATAAATGTCTCTTTTGGTTGCACATTGAAACCTTTTATATATATATATATATATATATATATATATATATATATATATATATATATATATATATATATATATATATATATATATATATATATATATATATATATATATATTATTTTTCTTCTACAATTTTTGTTTGGTATTTTGATTTAGTTGGACGGGGTGAAGACATTATCTGAAAACATAGCGGACAACGGTGGTCTGAAGTACACATATCGAGTAAGTTTTTCTAATTTTAATAGTTTATCAGAAATTGAAACTTGCAGTCAATAGTAGATGATGACTGAATTGAATCCAACTATACCACTGGAGCAGGGCACTGCATGTTGCAAACTAAAACACAGGAAATACTAAATTAATAAGGGAATGTATCCAATTACAATAAAACTAACAAGGTATAAAACAACTCTGCGTAAACTATTTTTAAACATCGTTTTTGGACAAGTCAGTCACGTCATGAACATTCTTAATTAAGACATTGCGTCATTATGCTGAGTCATGCTTTTGCTATATTTATCGAATATGTAATATCTAAAAATAGTATTTATGTAATGATCTATTAATATCTTGCGGATAGTATATAAGCAGAGAAAGCTTAAGCTATCATCAGAGAAAGAGGATCAGAGAAAAGTTTAGAAATAGTAATTTGTTATTGTTGTTCAAGAGAATAAATTGATATTGTTGGATTTATTGTCGTCGCAAAGTTCGTAAGACTTAATTAGAAGAAGGATATTACAAATACGAGAAAGCCTCCTTGGCCAGCGCGTGTCGCTGTGTCTGGTCAAGGAGGGCAACGAGCGTAAAGATGATGAAGAGGCAGACATACATTTTTGTTCGTTCTCGCTCGCGAATGTAACACTATACATGCAGCTTAAGTAAATAGGCTCTTTGCAGTTGGCTGAAAATAGTTGAGAAAAATAAGTCACTACAGCACGGAGAGCTGAGGGATTTGTAAACAGATCAATATCTGGCCAGATCAGTATCCGACTACAAAGGCAGGACCTGGTGATGTTGTCACCTGATGATCAAAACTCGAAAGCTTGTTGTACGTGTAGTTTCAGGTAGTTTTATATCGTTCCCCGCACAGTTGCCTTGGAAAAGGACACCTTCTCGCGAATTAGTTGTTTTACTTCTTATTCTCTATCAATAGTTTTGCAATACAATTTTTTTTCTTTGATCTTTCCATCCTTCCTAGGCGTACAAAAAATGGCGTGAAACAAATGGCATAGAAGACAAACTGCCTGGTCTACAATTTAACAATGATCAGCTCTTCTTCATTGGTTTTGCTCAGGTGAACTTAGATGGAAATAGCTATCAAAACAAAGTTTGTCGCAATACACCTTTCCGGAAAGTATACGTCGCTTTGGCTATAGAGCCTCGTTTTCGTGTATGTAACATTACTTAAAGCCCATGCAACGTCACAATTACGAAAACGAAGCTCTACAGCCAAGGTGACGTACTTCCGGAAGTGTGCATTAAAATAATTTTTAAAACGATAGAAGAAGACCCTTTACCATTTGTTGCTGTCTTGCATGGTTTTAAGGCCCATTTCCACTTAGAAAAATTTTCCGCCAAAAGAAAGTTTTGTAAAATGTAATTAGCCGACACAAATTTTACGTCGGAAAAAAATTTTGAAGTTGAAAATGTTCAACTTTTAATAATGACATTTTCATGAAATTTTCTGTCCGTGGAAATTTTTCTTCAGTGGAAATGGGCCTTAAAGGCCCATTTCCACTCAGGAAAATTTTCCGCGGAAAGAACATTTTGTGAAATATTATTGGTCAACACAAATTTTCCGTCGGAAAAAAATTTTGAAGTTGAAAATGTTCAACTTTTAATAATGACATTTTCAGGATATTTTCTGTCGGTGGAAATTTTTCTTCAGTGGAATGGGCCTTAAGAGCTATTTTGACCAGAAACAGCGCGTGGTACGCCATCTTGTTTTTTGTCGTTTGACCTAATTAACTATTCAGATTTTGCAACATATGGGAATATTACGTCACACTAAAAAATCAAGCAATTTTAGTGGCAAAAATAATATTTGCCACCCAAAATGGTCCGAACCAAACAATAGACCTTTCCCCTTATGAGTGAAATTTTGATCCAGATATGCCTGGACAAAAATTTCATCACAGCTTAAAAGAACATCACAAAATTAGTAATATTCCGAAGTTTCGTTGCGAAATGTTGTAAAATGCGGAAATATAGCCTTGCGAAGTTTGCCGTTTTTCAGTCATTTGGTATTACAAACGGGAAATTGACAATCAGATGATCAAACTGATGCAAAATGTTAGATTGTAATGCAAAATGACTGAAAAACGGCAAACTTCGCAAGGCTATATTATCCGCATTTTACAAGGGGGCTTACAACATTTCGCAACGAAACTTCGGAATAATACTAATTTTGTGATGCTCTTTCAAGCTGTGATGAAATGTTTGTCCAGACTTGTCTAGATCAAAATTTCACTTAAAAGGGGAAAAGGTCTATTACGTGGAATTATGTGTTATGACGTCACTTGCAAGGGCTGAAAATAGGGTTTTGGTGAACTTACAACAGGATTATACCTCTTAACGTTGTTACTTAGTTGACTGTACTATTTAAATGAGAGAAGATTTTTAAAATGTGATAAACCAATCGGAAATGGAAAAAGCCCAAAAATCGAGTTTCAGGCTTGTAATGAAATGTGGTTGGTAAAGCGGCTGTAAAAAAATATTTCAAAAACAAACGACGGTACGGATAAATTGTAAAAGGTTTTCATATAACTTATTGTTTCAAAAGTTATTTTATACGAGATATAGATCAATCAATTTTATACTGCTCCTTACTTGAGCTATTACAGATTACAGATATTTCACAGCACACTCTCTATCAGGGCTTTTCAGTGACTGGTTATATTATGAATAGATACATAGAACCGGACTGACGTGAAGCAGACCGAGGTAGACTTTGAGCTTACAAATGGCGCTTGAGCAGCTGCCGCTATTGGTCCATACCTCATTAATGATCTGCCTCCAGATCTATGTGCCTAACCTCCCTGTCAACTTTCCCTGTGGGAGGAAACACGGAGTACCCGGAGAAAACCCACGACTTTCGGCAGAGCGTTGACTTTTTTTACTCTTTTCACATGAGTACTGGGTTCGAGGCACATTGAGAAGTCCTCATTGAGGCTTGAACCAGCTACCTTAGAGGTGAAAGGCAAGTGCGCTAACCACCGAAGCGAAGATAAGAAGGAAGATAAAATCACAGAAGAGGCAGAAAGTTAACCATTTTACCTTGCGCTAGTTATTATTTCACGAGTTTGTGACACTCGTGCAAAAACTGGCACATAACTGCTGCAAGTTAAAATGTTTCAATCTTCCTTCTTATACTGCATTTCAAATTCAAAACAAGTTCTTTAGACAAG